GTACCCCCGCACCTCTCCCCTCGCTGCCACCGCTGCTCTTCCCCGTCCCAGGAAAAGGAGCAAGAACGCAACAACCATCAGCCTTTGCTCAGCTACTGGAAAAAAAAAAAATTAGAAAAAAAAGAATGAAGAGGACAGAGGCAGTTACTACTCTATCCCTTTTTATTGTCTTTAATCTATGTTGTAAAAAGATCCAGTATCACATAACAGCCACTGAAGTATCCCAATATCACACTAGTTCTGAACCATTTAGACAATAGCTTAGTCTTTTTTTTTCTTTTTTTTTTTTTTTTTTTTTAAACCTGCTGGAAGGGAAAACCATACTGCCCATTATACAGGCCAAAAGAAACAAACACTGGTCAAATAATAGTGACAACCTCAAGCAAGTGAAATGAAGATGAAAAGTTTTGAGTGAACACAGGCTGCAGGACTCCGAGGGCCCCGCGCTGGCTCATCCACCACAGCCTGGGGGAGCGGGGCCAGGAGGCTCCAACCGAACAGAAACGCCTCCAGCCCCGGCTCCCGCTGCTGGAGTTGGCCACAAGCCCCCACAGCCCCTCGCCCTTGTGCTTTCCGCCCACAGTGGGGCTCCCGCACACACCCCGCTACAGTACATCAGTTCAGAGGGCAGAGGCCGCAGCTCCATTAATTAAAGCCCATGACAAGTAAATCAAATCTTAGTAGAGAACAACTGGGAGAACCAAACTGTGGCCCCCGAGGAAGGCAGCTCCCGTCCCGAGCGCAGGATGGACCCTGCCCTTTGCTGTCATCCCCATGGGCAGAAACAGCCTCGGCCTCGCACCCCGCGCTCAGCTGATGGATTTCTGCCGCTTCCATTACCCAGCGGAGCACAGCGGTGCGCGCCCCAGCTGGTGCAGTCAACCCTCGCATTGATTTCAGATACAAAGAGCATAAGAAATGGTGAATAAAAAACAAATGATCCCAGGCCCTGCAACTGCCTTTTGCTCAGCTGCTGGGGAAAGCAGCAGCCGCCCCTCCCTCCAGCACCATTCGCAGCCCTGCAATGCTCCCACCCCATGAGAGCACAACCCTTCAGCTACACCCCACCTCCTGCAAACCGAGTGTGAAGTACTTGTTCCTCTCCCCCCCTGTCCAGCCCGAGGGCTCACATGCGTTACAAACATTAACGAAGCCTCACAACAGCCCTGTGAGGTAGGTCACTGTCTTCATGTGACAGGGAATCCAAGGCAAAGCTGGGATTAAACTCCA